TTAGGGTGTCATCTGGTGCAGTCCACACACAGACTCCACACACCCCTATTGACAATGCTAGCCTGGAGAGCAATTTCTACCCTCCAGCCACCCTCAAACAGACACAAGAGCTTGCCCTGGTAGAAACTTCCCCCTTCAGCTTCCCAGCTGGATCAGGGAGCTGCAATACTAAATGCAGGTTCTGGTAAACACTTCCAGTACCCCTAATTTCTGAGAGAAAGAAATGTGTTGTAAGTACTCTGGTATCTCCATGATATATTTTATCCAGCAATATTGTGACATTTCACCACTGGCCGCCAGCATGTGCTGGTGAGGCTTTGATGACTTGTGAAACACCAGAAAAGGTAGTATCTTGAATATGGCACATAGACTGCAGACATGTGGAAGGAGTAAAACAGTGGATAAAAAGGGTTTACTAGAGGAGGCAATGCAACCCCCTACCCATACTCTGCATTTCTAATGAAAACTCATAGTCAGAGACTAGTTCTTGCAACAGATCAAATAAGACTGGGCTCCCTTTCATCCCCTGCTGTGTTTCTAAATACCCTTTCTGTCCATTCATTTTGGGGTACTCCAGATCTTGTTCGTGTGTTGTAAAGTCAGTGAAGCAACAGTCAATTAAAATCTGTTTCCCACTGGCCTGGGGCTAGTTTTGAGATAGATAGATAGATAGATAGATAGATAGATAGATAGATAGATAGATAGATAGATATTACCCTAGAACTTAGCATATTTGCTGCAGTTGACACATACACACACACCACTAGTCCGGGCTTCAGTCTGAGATACTTTCCTGCTTTCTTTGTGCTTGGTATTCCGCTCGTTTCTATCAGCACCCCAAAAGGGACACACTCAAGCATCGCGGTTTGAGTCGTTCCTGCTTTGGTATGGACCCTTTTCTCAAAGAGAGGTAGCTATTATCTACATCCACTACTCAAATCCCACTTTCACCTTTCACCTTTCAATTTCAGTTAGCTGTATGTGCTGGATATTATAGTGGGGAGTTCTTGTGTGTGTGCTCTTTCATACTTCTCCCAAATAAAGTTCTTTTAATTCATCCATGCCTGGAGTCTCTTATCAGTCAGTACTGGTATAGTTGGTCCTTCCAATCCCCTGGAGATCTCTAAGGGAGGTCATTTGGGCCCTGAGCCCATCATAGTTATCCATCACTGCCTTACAGTGGTCATCATATATAGTTGCATTTCATACTCATACCTCCAACCGTCTTAATTTGGCAGAATATGTTATTGTCCCACATTTTCAACTGCTTCTAAAATGTCTGTTTCTTTCTCCTCCTATTTTCTCACTTTGTTCTCTGCGTACCTCAGTTACTGCAAAGTGAGCTCAAAATGCAGAAGTAACTTGTATTAAGCTAACTTTGCAAGAGCAAGGGGCGAGCCAGTAGACTCAGGAAAAAGCAAACTTCTCCTAGCTTGTGTATTCTTCCTCATTAATAACTTTTGCCATCTTGACCACACCCTGATGCTGCTTGGACACATAGCTGCTTTTAAAGAAACATGGGACAGAATTAATTGACTGGTGGTTATTTCCCCCCCCCCCCTTAGATTTAAAGGGAGCAAAAAAGATGATCTCCTGGGAATTTCTTACAACAGGCTGATAAGGATAGACACAGCCACCGGAGACCCAATTACAACATGGAGATTCTCAAATATGAAACAGTGGAATGTGAACTGGGAGATACGGCAGGTAATGTCCAAGTTTTCCTGGAATACAGCTATCTCTCTATTGAATACAACTGCCTTTAGTTGCAGTCTGTGTGATCATATGTGGGGTTGAAAAATAGTAAACCCATCAGTAGGTGAAAATCCTTACATTGTTAGCAAGTGCCACATGCAGATTGACAGCATTATTGGGCTGCATTTTGCCATACCCTTACAGCATGGATTTCTCAGAGCTACCTTATTAAATGTGATTCTTATTTAGAATATGGGTGTTGTGGTCTCCACTTGATACAGAATGAAGCCATAGGAGTTTCCCTCCTCACCTGCTATTGGAAAGTGAAAATAGTGGACTAGCTCCAAATTTAAGCTCCTGATTTAAGCTCCAGATTTAAGCTCCTGTGTCTGGCGGCAGCAGACTTCCCCATCCCCTGCTTCCCCAAGCAGTCTCTTTAGTATTCTGAAAATTTTGCACAAGAGATCGGTGGAACTGCTAAAAGAACATGTTTCTGCCTGATTTGGGGTGATTTCTCCTTCTCCTACAGCCCCCTGGGCCCCCAACAATCTCACTAGCATTTTGGGGTGCTAGAAGAGCTGTCATGGGAAAAGAAGTAGTGGGGAATTTCACTAAACCTGTTGCACAAGGCAAATCTACAGGCAATTCAATGCTTAAATTCATTGAGACTGGCAAA